ACAAACAAACCCTGTATATAAAATTTACACGCTGAACTCCAGCTGTAAATCTTGAGATTCCAGGACCAGGGTACAGATTACTGCCCAACAGGATTTAAAGTTCAGTGACTTGCTACATGACTCCAGAGAGACATTACACCTTTACTTTCATACCACACCCCTGAACATTCTTAAACAAAGCAGACACAAATAACTCAGCTTTCCATCATATATGTTTTAATGGCTCTTTTATTTTGTTACACAGAGATTATGAAAACCAAACTATTTCCAGAGTAGGTTTAGGTTCGTGTTCTGGCATCAACTGACTAAGCTACTAACAAAATTACAGTAAAGTCAGCATTGAATCACTAGGATCCTGTAGATAACTCAGCAGTTGGTTCTAAGCTTTTTGAACTGCTGATTTAGGTATTCTATATCATGGAGAACATATTTATATCAATCAAAAAAGGCTGAGTCACTAGAAGGTATACAAAAATCTGAAAATATAGTTCCAGATGTCACCAAAAATTTACGTTAGTATTTTTACTCAAATCTGTTCTATTTCTTATCTTTATGAGATATAGTGCTATATGAGAGTTCCATCTTACTATAGGTGGAGAAACAAAAAATTAACTCTAATTTATCACACCACCTGGCATACCACTGTTTTATATTCCAATATTATTAGTAGCACATGGCACACCACTATTTTATTTTCTAATATTATTACTCTAATAAGAACAGAAATGTTAGATATGTAAAATATATACATCGGAACTGCCTGCAAGTATTCAATGCAACTCTTATAAATTACCTCCTCCCTGGAAATTGTAGATACTCACACTTGATGGACAACCATTAAGCCTAGGATACATGACACCACAGTGGCACCACACATTTGAGGGTACTCATATCTGCATAGCATATTTTTAAACAAAGTTCATATCTAGCCCATTTGCCCAGCTAGGTACGTGAGATTTCTTAAGAACCTAATTTTCCTCCAGGAAAAAATATAAGGAAATTATGTATTTTCCCCCAAAAACAAAATTTGAGGATTAAAAAATAAAGGTGAGACTAATTTCAAATATTCTGTATCTAATAATCTGGAGTTAGAAACATTATACCAGCACACTCACACTATACATGATATAAAAATTCACATTTTAAAGACACCTTAAGAAGTGAAAGAAGGAAACTAACACTGAGCCCCTTCTATGTGGCAATCTCATTTAATCCCTACAGCAATCCCATGAGGAAGCCATCACTTCTATATATGAAGAAAATTTAGCTCAAGAGGTAACAACCCCAGACTTTGAATGCTGCCAGATATGTATGTCTGGCTCTGCCACTTAAGCAATTTCTACTAAGCTGCATGGAAGGTACTTGAAATGAAGCACTGAATTTCAGTTCAAAAGTTATTTACCTAAAAAATTATGAACAAAATATTAAAACAAACATTGAAGTTCTGTAATAACCATATCCCATAATAAATGCTTCATTCAATTGTAAAACTTTATTTCTCTATTTTAAAGTTAAGGTTACTTTTAAGGTTCTTCAGTAATTTCTGAAAGTGTCTCAAATAAGTAGGAGAAATTTCTTTGACTGCCCATATGTCACTAAATATCGCAGTATAAGATCCAAAAACAGAAAATACTTAAGAACTAGCAAAAAAATAAAAAATATAAAATCTGAACCAAGACTACACAAACATATAAAGCTAATAAACATAAAACTGTGAAAACTGAACTTAATAAGTATGTGCAATGTGAAAAAGACTGTTGTTTTATATTAATCTTGAAACTAACCACAATCTTAATGGAGCTGAAATATTTTATCTCTCAATCTTTTATGGCCTAATACTGTTTCTCATGTTACCAGAGCTACTTATGACAATTCTAGATGGTCAAGATGAAGATTTCTTTTTAACAAATTGTCTCTCCCCCAATTCAAATAAAAATAAATAGCTTAACTTCTGTGGAGGCAAATATAGGTATATGTCTTTAAAGAAATGTAAAAGCCTGCAAGCTTTACAAACTTCAGTTATTGGAAAAACTAAAAATGTTCAATATACAATTCTTAAACACATTTTTAGGTTTCAATTCATGTACTATATGTGCTCCACGTCTGTAGAAATACCTTTGGAGAGCTTTTATTTTTTTAAAAATCAAAAGTCGAAATAGTGTAAAAACAAAGATGTGCACCTGAAGCAGCCAGGGTGTTCACCAAATGTTCTCTCACCTAATTGGACAAGTTACTTCAATTCCTTGTAAATTTTAATTTGTCCGTAAAACGAATTGACTTCGTAAGGTTATTGTGAAGATTAAATGATAATTTTCTAGATCTGGCACAGCGAGTGACACAGTGAATAATCAGTATCAATTTTCTTCTCCGCTAACAGAGACCAGTTCTATCAATCATGGATTCAGAAGGCAGAAATACAATTATAGATTCGAAAACCCAAAGACACATATATATTCTAACATGCTACGGGCCAGAAAATATCACTCCAGAAGCGAGTTCCTTAGAGACTAAATCATAAGATTAATGACGTGTCTAAGAAACACAGACCGGGTCCAAGAAGTCATCTTTTTAAAGTCCTTATGGCTATTTCCACATTATGTCCAAGGTCTGTTCCTTGATTCAGCGTTATTAAAAGCACAACGACTTTCTGTTTAAACTTCTCCCTTTCTAGTAGCATGCGAAAGGTCTAGCAAAAGTAGATGATAAATTATACTGTAAGAAAGGCTGACTCCTTGTTTTAGCTCCTTGGGTTGTTTTTGCCTCATCACTTAAACTTAGCAGAGGAGGGACCCAGGGGTTAAGGGACGCCAGGCGGTTGCCCAGTCAACCACCCACTTCCTTCTGGGTCCCGGAGGTGACGCAAGGCCCGGAACCTACGCGGTGCTAGGGTCAGTGGCGGTCCCAGTAGCTGTGTCCTCATCATGACTGAGTGGTTGGGAAAGAATCGAAAAACCACAACAAACACGGCCCAAACCCCAACACTGACTCTGCTAGGGAAGAACTAATGTCCTGCACCACTCCAACGCCCTCCCAACCAGCGTGCTCCGCCCAAATCATCCAGCGACCAGCCATTTTCGAGGCGGGAGAGAGCGCCCGCGCCCCTCCCACGTCCTACGTAACGCCTTCGGGCCCCGCCCCCAGGAACAGGGAGGCCCTCCCCGACACACACACTCGACACACACACTCACACACGCACACCCCTCTTCCTTTACCCGCAGGGACCCCTCCCCTTTTAACCCTTTGGCTGAAGGAGGTGGGGAAAGGCTACAGCCCGGAACTTTCCCGGGGGCGGGAGAGGGAAACTGACTCCCCGATTCTCGAGCCTGGAGCCAGAGAGCGGAGGGAGGGACCTCCCCGAAGTCCGCCTTCACGGCCCTCTCTCGCCCCCTCCCCCCGCACGTTCCAATGCATCTGCTCTCGGGGTGGGGGCTAAAGGGGGCTGGGGGAAGCCAGGCCCGGGAGACCAGCGGGAGCCCGCCCGCTCACTCCCTATGGCTTCCCGCCCGGCTGCACGCTCCCTCACCAGGACAGGAGGGTCTGCGGCACGGGGCAAGCCAGCGCCGAAACAAATCCTTGCTGCTTAAAATGGCTGATTCCTCTCCACGCCAGCTGCAGCCGCTGGGTCTGCAGCGGGGGCTGACGAGCGGCCCCCGCCCCCACCCTTGAGACCCCACCGAAGTCCTCGCGGACCGCACCAGGGGAAGAGAGGGCCGCGAACCCGGTCTCCCGTCCCTCTTGCCCATCCCACACAGCAACCCCCCTGTGTGCACTCGGGGAGACTGTCACAGTAGAAATAGAAAGTGTCACTTCTCCGGGCAGGCTCCGAGCGACCGTGCCCGGAGGCCAGAGAATCCGAGAGAGGGGAGGACCCGCACAGGCAGCCCTGCGGCCCCCTACCTTGATATTTGTTGTCCAGCTCTCGCAGCACAGACACGTTCCTCTGCATGTCGTGGGGCAGCGACTCCACACACTCGAGGTAGTCCTGCACATAGCAGGTGAGGAGCCGGCTCCGCTCTCCGGTCAAGAGTGCGGCCGACGAGTAGAGTTGTTGCTGCTGCCCTAACATCCTGCCACCGCTGCTGCTCCTCGCCGCCGCCGCCGCCGCCGCCTCCGCATCCAGCAGCCACACATGCAACAGTCACGGCCGCCGCGGCTCCTCTGCTCCGCAGCCGGGCGCCGCGGGGACACCGGCAGCCGCTCAAGAGGGCACAGCCGAGTCCCCCGATCTCCACTCCCCCCAAAATAAGCCCTCACTCCCCGCCCCCGCGGTAACAAGCCCAGGGGCGGAGCGAGAGCAGGGCTCCCTCCTTTTTGCCCTCCCTCCCCAGGACTAGAGCAGCGGGGATCCCCGCAGCGAAGCTGGCACCGGGGTCCCGGACGTTGACACGTTCTGTCCCCCTCAGAGTCTCCAGATGCTACCAATGTCTGGTCGTAGGTCGGATCCCCATGACAAGCCGCTTGCTGCCCCCTCCTCTCCCAATCACCCTCCGTGCCTGTCGGAGAGTCTCTCACTGGAGTGCCCCCGCCCCTCCTCCTGCAGGCGCCTCTGCGCCTGCGCAGCACTCACTCCTAATAAGGCCGGAGGCCCGCCCCTACCGCCCTACAGAAGGGTTCGCATTCTCCCGCCTTCCCTCCGCCACCCGGGCGATTGGTCTGTCAACTCTTGGCCCGGGGGGAGGGTGCGAAGGGCGGCCAAACGGCAGGCTGCGCCCCGCCCCCTCTTAAAGGAGAAGCACTGTCAGGTCCGCCTCTTTGCCCAGTATCTGAATGGGACTTGAGAGAGAAGGTGGCTGACTCCTTCCTTCCGCCCTTACCACAGGGTTGGGGAAAGTTGGTCCGGCTCCCTCCGCTGCGTGTTACCGACTTTTTCCCCATCCGTGGATCTAGCGCGGCCCCTCGCGAGCGTTAAAAGGATCAGCAGGCGGCCGATTTTCTCCGCATCCTGGAGTGAGGCCTGCGGGAACTACGCGACCCAGCGTGCAGCGGGCGCGGCTCCCGGCATGCGCGGCGGCGGTGTTCCCGCCGGGCCGCCGCCTGTGCGCTGCCCTCGGGCTGCCTCCCGCCTCCGGCTGCAGCCCTCGGGCTCACGGGGCACTCGGGGGCTGATCGCGGAGGTAGGCGGTACTCCTGCGGCCCCTGCATTTGCTTTCTCTTTTAATGTGCTCACCTTTTAAGTCTCCCTCTTGGCTTCAGAGTGTTCCCGCCCTTCCTCAGACGTAGGAGGTCTCCCCGCGCCGAGGTGTGGTGCAGGTTTCGTCCACTCTCCGGTTGTTCAATAATACGCTGTTCAGACTGTGTCCGCCCGAACAGACAACCGTTAAAACTTTTTTTCCGTGGGTCAGAACGTTTAAGCATTAAACGTCGGCAAAGGTTAACCAGCGGCATGAGGAGCACACCACCACCTGCCTTTTCGTATCGTTTTACCCTAAGACTAAAAAATGGGCCGAAGGGAAGAAGGGCTGTGTAGATGAGAGTAAAAACCAAATTCGGAATCAGGCCCACGTCCTTAATTAACTACGTAAGCGACTGTCAGGGTTTAATTTCTGTATAGTGTTCCATGCCAAGCGAAGGAGCTAATTTAAATCCAAAGTACTCTCAGTATATGTAATAACGTGTGTTTTTGAAAGAAATGGTTGTAAATAGAACGAGTACACGGATAATTTTAATGGAATGCCTATGTAAACAAACCCTATTGTGAGTCGTGCCTTTGAGTTAAGAAAACGTGAGTGGGTGATAAATTTGAATTTCCTTATATCGAGTTTGTTTGCATTGGTTGGTACACCTACCTGTACGGTGAACTACTTAGAGCACTTTTGAAACAGCTGTTAATAGTAACTGGATATGCAGAGAGAAGTCTAGACCTTGATCTAGAGGAAATTTTAAATTTCAACCCAAAATAAAGCACTTCAGGAAATTCGGCGTCTTGGGAACACACATATGTGTATATACACATATATATATATATATGTTGCTCAGTTCATGCAGATTGTCTTATCCTGTGACACTTTGAGGTTCTGACCACTTGAATATTAAGTCAACCCAGTTAGTACAGTGCATTGTATTTCTGAGAACCGTCTAGGGATTTTATTGTCATTCTTTAAATCTTTCAGATTAAGCAGTCAGGTCTTGTAAAAAAACAAACAAAAAAATAACAGTTGCTGTTAAGAACTGAATTTTATTGCTTTCTACCTGAACTTTCTGTTTCTGTTTACTCAGATTTGAATCAGTGAGTCTTTATTGAAGGGCCAAAATAATTCAAGATGCGTTATTTATTGATTCAGGTTAGACACTGTACCTATGGATTTTATTCAGCTGGAGAAGTGATCTGGAGGCAGATAAGACACGTGGTTAGAAAATACAAGCAGAAAAGGCAATGATGCAGTATACCTAGAATACTCCCTCCAGGAATCTAGAGCAAGATGAGAGGAAGGAAGGATGAGTGTGGAAATGGAGACCTTTTATTGCATTTTTATTATTCATAATTCTGTTGAACAGAAGGAAAGGAAGCAAAAAGAATACAAATAATGATTTTTCAGCTTGTGTTGGTCTAAGCCTATAAAGAAACTCTAAGATGGTAATATATGTGTGTATATGTGAATTATTTCAGATGTGCTTTTCTTGCTATATTAATTTATAGAAGTTAATCAAAGACTTATTTTCTGCTATGCTTGTGAAAGCAGACTGTGTGAGGAGAGTACTTACATGGAAAAAAAATCACCATACTCCTCAAACTCAACTTCTGACCTTGATTATTTATCATGTCCTTTTATCATGTCCTTATCAAGTCTTGACCTTGATTATTTACTATGTCCTATTCTTCTCAAATGGAAATTTGGGGCCTTTTCAGATTGGGTTGCCTTACTCTGTTAAATCAGTATTTTAAAGTCCCCAATTCTCTTCAATGAAAAAGTTAATTGGTGACATTTTTAATCCTATGAATAAAGCAAAAAAGACATCTATCTTACTTGTTCTTCAGTATATTTTCTACCATAAAATAACCCTTAAAAAAGATGAGTAACAGACATTCTCAAATTAGTACAAGTGTCTGGGATTACCTTTAATTTCTAAATCAGTTATTTTGAGAGGTCCCTGTTAGGAAATGTTTATGCCTATAAGTCTATGTCCTGTAGACCTTATTTATACTGTGAGAGGGTAAAGCAACAGCTTCAAACTCTGAAAAGAAATTAGCAAGAGGTTCTGAAGGATTTCTAAAAATATTTCCTGAGAAAATTCAGCTACTATGCGAGTCAGGCCAATTAAATTTGAAATCCTTTACTTTTTTCTACTTTTTGATATTTTAAAAAACTTAATTATGGAAAACTTCAAACACACACTAAAGTAGAGGTAATGGTACAATAAATCCTACTATTCACTCAGCTCGAGCATTTATCAACATATGGCAAATATTAGTTCATCTATAACCCCCTTGCCTTTGCTGTTTTACTATCATTTTTCTGTAAACACTTTAAATATGAAAGGATAAGAGATAGTTTTAAAAAACATATTCACAATACCATTATCCTATCAAAAAATGTTACTATCATTTAATATCCAGACAATTCAAATTTCCCTGTTGTCTCATTAATATCTTTTTACACTGGTCTTTGCTTTTAACCAAAAGTGAGGTCTTTTCTAAACCAGTACGAGGCAATTAATTCTCTGTTTAATTCAGTGAAGCATGTAGCAATGTTTTTCTAAGGAAGATATTTGGATGGTTTAAAAGCACTGTTAAAAATATAGGGAAATTCTCCTCTTTGGGCTCCTCGCATCCAAGATTAAAAAAAGGAACAATGGTCGTGCCAAAAAGGGCCATGGCCATTTGCAGTCTATTCGCTGTACCAACTGCACCCGATGCGTGCCCAAGGACGAGGCCATTAAGAAGTTCGTCATTCGAAGCATAGTACAGGTCAGAGCCCTGAGTGACATTTCTGAAGCCAGTGCCTTCAACGCCTGTGTACTTCCCAAGCTGTATGTGAAACTACATTTCTGTGTGAGTTATGCTGTTCACAGCAAGATAGTCAGGAATGGCTCTCCTGAGGCCCGGAAGGACTGAACACCCCCACCCTGATTTAGACCTGCAGGTGCTGTCCCACGACCTCCACCAAAGCCTATGTAAGGAGCTAACTGAACAACTATTCTCTGGAAAAAAATAAAATGAAAATTATATTTTTAAAAATGTAGGAAAATTCAGGATTACCACTTTAAATAAAAACTTAATATTAAAAGGTCACCGATTAATAGCCCACTGTAGAAATGGAATTGTATCTAATGCAACTAAAATCTTTTAAAAAATCTATGAGTTTGTATTAATTTAGAAAATAATTTGTTGTAGAAGGTCCAGTGAAGCATTTCTTGCTGAAAAATACCTGAAGCTTTAAATCAATTCATTAGTACAACAACAAAAAACTAACACCCTGCATTTCCCTTAAGCTCAGTTTTAAAGCATGTTTAATTGCATTCTTGCATAAATAGCACACACTAATTGTAAAAGAAAAAACAGCTAAAATGAAGATATGTAAAAATCACTACAAACTGGAGATAACTCTTCTCAGTATCTAATTATACCTCCAAGATGTAATTCCATTTTAGTTTTTTGCTTTAAGAAAACACTTTGGCTACGACTAAAGGACAAAGTTAAGAAATATTAGAAATCTGCACAATGTCAGCCTGTACATTTAGTTTATGAGGTAGACAGCACAGTTTTAAAAATGTGTAAAAATCAACTCTGCAGCTTATAGTACTATTCAGCATTTAAATGACTACTAACAGCAAGAGATAATCCTAAAACATTTTAATGAAGGGCTGTGAATGACTGGGACCGTAGTCAAGATAAAATTCAGTATAATAAAGTATCATTCTCATAACCAAGAAGAAAAACACATAATGTCTACTTTGGTTATCCCAGAAAGAAAAAAAACCATATGGTATACTTTGCATATTGCTGACCAGAAAAACATTCATTTTTCCCTGGATGGTTACCATAGTTACATGAGCTGTTTATAACATCAAGTGGGGGAACTAGGTCACGGTATTGAAGGAGTTTAAATTATGAAATTATGTTTCCTAAAAACAAGGGAAAAGGTTTAAAATTTAAGAGATTTCTGTGTTCTAAATTGAAATTCTTATCTAATTTTGCTAGTGAAACTTAAAAAATTTGTCCAAGATTAAATAGTTGATATTGTAGATATAAATTGTTCAACCTATACAACTAACATAATAACTAGATCCATAACTGTGATAAAAGATGCCAGAACATTCAATCCTTGTAGATACTGCTTTATCTTAGTGAGCTGCCTTACCTTAAAATGTTTTTACAAGTAATCAATAAACCCAACAGTAGCCTAGAATCTTGCAGTAGCCAACCCATGTGTCAATTGAAGCTCTGCCTTCTTACCTTTGAAAGCTTGAGCTTAAAGTTAGGCACAATGCCTATCAGATGCTGCTCTTAATTTGTTGTAGAGATTTTCCTATTTTATCAAATGGACAGGGAATGATAGGGAGAGAATGTACTGAAAGCCATGGTAGCATAGACATCACCCCTTCTTTAAATTATGGTTTTTTTTAAACTAGTAACCTCACACACACACACAAAGATTTTATTTAGGAACCACGTCTGTTGCATCAGAACCCTCCCAGCACAATGCTGGATAAATAGAGGTTGGATGAGGGAAAAGAAGAGAAAAAAATGCATTTAAAGCTTGCACAATTTCACATGGTTATTTTTCATCTCATGATCACTATAGACTCATAGACATTTTATAGCTAAAATTAATCTTAGATCAATGATTTCCCCAATGGAAGAGAGAGCAGGCAACAGGTGGCCTCGTTGAGAAGTTGGGTGAGCCACTGCGGCTGATGGTAGTTATAACCATCATGTCTCTAGGGATAGAGAAAAGGTTGAAGATCCCTATTAAAGATCACCTGTAGACCAACTTTTTTTTTACAGGGGATGATATGGGGACCCAGAGAATTTAACTTGCCAAGGGTAACACAGAAATTCATAAAATAAGTGTACATCTAAAAATTTAAGAGTAAAACAAATATTAATCATATCTTCTAGCTGATAATCATTAGAAAGGAAACAAGTACCTTTAAAAATAAGTTCAGATATGATAAAATTACTTTTTTGGAGAAGTCTTATAGCAAATTTAACAAAATTACTTCTAAAGGAATATTAGGATATCTGGAACAATTATTTTCAAAATACACAAAATTAAAAGGACTAGAAATCATGTATTCTTTGGACTGTTATTTATTTTGAACAGCAAATGTCTTATCAGTCAGCTGTAGCTGAAGTGAGAATGGTCTTTTAAAAATAAATTAATGCTACTTGCCAGGAGTTTTTGCTAAATCTTTTTTCCTTTTTAAATAATTCTAATTGATTATTTAATAATGCCTATTGGAGCTATTGTTAAAGTAATCGCTCTTGGCATGGTTACTTTATTCTAGCATTTTGGTGAATATTGATTTATCTTCTGAGGGTAACACATTTTTTTTAATTGCTCATTTAATTTATTTCCATAAATGGAGGCTCTCTGACTTTTTTATGTGTGAAAACAAGTAAATCTCACTTTATGCAATATACATTTTTCTGGAAAATTGTGTTTAAACCTTATTTTGCTATAATAAGTAATTTTAAATGTGCTGGTTCTATAAAATAAGAGACCCAAGTTTTGAAATAAAAAATACTTATTTAATACAAATAAGTTATCTGATTTTCTTTTATTTTCAAGACTTCCCTCAATTGTTTTGTTCTGCTTGAGAAAACGTAAGTTGTGTTCTTCATTATCTAACTGCAGCTTAGGTCTAGTTGCTTTCGCTTGTTCTGTGTTGTACATTCCAGATCCTTTAGCATAACACTTTTTTAGAGACATTAAAAAAAAAAAAAATATATATATATATATATATATACACATATACATATACATATATACACACACACACACACACGTATATATATGCATGTATGTATGTATGTATAATATATGGGGAAAATATGTATGGAAAGTATTAAAGGCTAAAAAGCATTCTGTTATGGGAAAAAAATCAGAGAATGAAGTGATTATTGAGCCATTAATGGGACCATAACATAATTTAGGGACCATAATATATAAATTATATGGAAACTACTTGTGCTACTTTTATTATAATAAAAAATACAGTTGTAATACAGGGTTAGACTAAGAGCCTATCTAACCTAGTCTTTGAAAATTTGCATATATATTCAAAAATAATTCCAAAATAGCCTAGTGGCTTCCTTACATGTTTTCTTTAGAATATCCTTAACTTTCTATAGTCTGGAAGAACAGTTTAGCCATATCTACTGATAGTATTTGCTCTGATTTAGGGCCTGATAATCTGGAGTGGGAGGGAGACTTGGTTTTCACAAGTATCATTTTGCACATTTGATTTTTTTAAAATTAGTGTTACCTTAACAAAACAAAGTTGTTTATTTTAAATATAAGAGGAGCAAAAAAAACCTTGCCATACATTCTGGAATAACAAAATGTGTGTTTATTACCTACTAGGAAAAGGACACATAAGTAGATACACTAAATATTTAGATTTTTTTCATCTTTATGAGAATTGTTCCAGTACTACTGTTAATAATATCTATACTTTCCATACCAGCATCCTAATTGCACATATATTATTATACAAAATTAAAACCAAGAAATACCACAATTAATAAATGTGAAGCTTTTGAAGACTTCTAATTTAGGAACTAATCTAGCCAGTTTGGGCTCAGAAACACATTTTTGTGAAGTTTTTTTTTAGCAGTTTAGGAGAAGTATAGGAATAGCCTTTTTCTTATTCAGCATAGCCCTCAAACGTGTAAAGAGCTTTTTAATTTTTGTGTACTCTCACTTGAGTACTTTAGGTGAAAGTGGAATAATTTTATCATTTTTATGAATCAGACGTTTGAAAATTCGTATTAAGATTGATATTACATGATAATGCCATCTATAAGTTCTGCCTATGACCTCAGAAGGGACCAATGAAATATGTCTACCCGAGAATGAGTGTTTCCCTGAAGTCTCTTATCAAACAGAGGTCTTCTCTACAGATTGAAATTTAGCAGAAGTGTTTAATGAAGAGGAATCTATGCATAGCTGTTGAGGAAGGAAAAAGATGGGAGAAGAGCCCAAATGTCATAAAGCAAAGAGGATTAGGTACAGGAAGCAGCTATTATTATTTCTGCTGTTTGGCTCAAAGAACTCCAAGAAATTGATTCCTTCTCACTGGACGTATTTTTCAATTTGGAATAAAAAATTGATTTTCCAATAAAATAGATATTAGAAAATGTATAACATTCGGGAAAACAGTTGAACATAGTGATCTGAGTAGTTACAATACCTCATGTAAGAGATTTTCAAAAAATTATTCTTTAGTGCATGGTGTTGCTTTCTAAGAAAGAATGAGAGTGACAACTTTGCTGTGATGAATATAAGCAAAAAAGCAATTAACAGGGAAATTAGGTCATATAGAAAGAAGGAGATAGATTCAGGAAATTTCTAGGAGATAATATTAACGGGATTTAGTGACAAATTCAGGGGATGGGAGAGAAGAGAGGTCACCTAGGGTTTTGACTTGGGTCATAAGTAGGTTATGGCAAGACTAGGTGAAATAGGAAATCCGGGAGATAAAGCAGGTTTGGAGGAAGGATATAAATTTAAATCATACGAGGATTATAACCCTGTAGTTTATACATCTTTGTGCTCTCTCAATCTTCAGTCTCCTCTTTCAAACAGCATAAACTACTGCTTCCTATATGTAGCCTGCTTGTACATAAAGAATAGCCAGCGATAGAAATCAGAAGCCGAGGATGTGTTGGGAAGGTTAGAGAGACTAGAAGAAATGATTTAGAGATAATGGTCTTAAAAATATCTTCCCATATGTCAGGACTTAATTAACTTTGAATTATTTCTATTAGTAAGCCAGGAATTGATGATAAGTGATAACAAGGATATAGAGACTCTTATGAGGAAAAATTTAATGCGGTAGGGTGGTTCCTTATTCCTGTCACCTCTCTAAAGGAACCATGATTGACCCTTGGCCAACCCTGAGAATTTGGCTCTTGGATTGTTCCTTGTATAAGTGATGATGATTTTGTTATATACACATATGCACCTGGAGCAATGGATCATGCCATATTGGCTTGTCAGATTGCTTCGCACAAACATGTACAGCTCGTTTAGTTGTTGGAGTCCTAAATTTCAGTTGCCATGGCTGATTGTATAGCATAATATGTGTATATTAACAGCCCCCCATAGAAGTCTTGGACCCTGAGATTCAAATGGGCTTCCATGGGCAGAGACACGCCTGTAGTTTGCTACAAGAGAATTCTTGTGTACCTTCAGACAAAGCACATTGAAAGCCTGTGCTGAACCTCGAGTTTCACCAATGCATCTTTTTCCTGTTGCTTTTGTTCTCCATCTTTCACTGTAATAAAACTTAGCCATGTGTATAACCTACTGTTGAATCTTGTTAGTCCTGGAATCACTAAAGGAAAGGGCTGAAGAAATTTAAAATCCAGTTTGTTCATCTGAATCTTGATAGGATTCACTGAAAAAAAGGATAGTCGACATATATAAGTATCTGCTGTGTGTGGATTTAAACTAAATCAACTCTTTGATCCATGTCCAGGAGATATTTACAGTGTCTATAGGGATATAGTCTCTATAAACATGTAGGGTGTTGGGAAAATGCTTATAGGCACAAGTATAAATAAAAACAAATTAGCAGTAAATGCAGAAGCAAGGCAGAATAAAAGAGAGATTAAAATTGGTAGGAGTCAGTACAGCATAAGGAATGCAGTCAATAGTATTGTAATAACTAATGTGCCAGGTGGGTACTGGACTTATCTGGGGATCACTTTGTAAATTATGTGTCTAATGCCTATGCCAACTGTAACTGAAAAATTAACAAATAAAAAATAAAGTGAGAAAAAGCCAAAATAAAATAAAATTGGTAGTAGTCAATGAAAGTTTATGGAAGATGATGCACATTTAAGAAGAAATATGGGATCACATTGTCAAATAACAGCTTTCATTTTGTTCCTCCCAAATGTACTCTAGCAGTATGTAAAAGATATAAAATAAAAAAACCTTTTTTCTGGATTTTATCTGAGTTCAGAGTCCAACTCAAGTTTGACTAAATTATTTAAGTGGAATCAAAGTTTATACTAAATTAAAATTTATATTTTATGTAACAACTTTTTGTGAGCCCCACAGTTATTCATTTCAGCTATGAGTTAATATTCTCATGTATGTATTATCATTCCAAAGATTCCACATCAATTCCTATTATAATCAATAAATCTTATCTGATAATTTCTTGCAGCTACTTAGTTATAACTGCTTATATCCAAAGATTAAGAATGAACTTTGAGAGTTCTGCTTCAGGTAATGGCCAACTAGCTCCTATCAGAGAGACCACCTTCCCACAAATAACAACTATAAATTCTGGATTAAATATAAAAAAATACCAAAAGGCACTGGAGAGCAAGCAAAAGAAGGCAAATTCTGGAGGGAAGTCAACATTTGGAAGAATGAAATGGCACTTCAGGAGTTTCCTATGTTTATGTCTCCTAGCCTACAGCGCACAGTCCTGTCAGATAACTTAATCTTAGACATTTGCAGACATAATGGCTTGAAGAACCAGAGTATGGAGTCCAGGGCAACCACAAGCCTAAAATTGATCGTGTACTACCTTGACATCTTGAAATCAGGAGGGTCTTGAATGGCCTAACTCCAAGTTCCCTTCCCCACTCAGCCCCACGGATAAGGTCCCTTAGCCAAACAATCCTCCTTGCCTAAAGGATGAGAATGAACCTTTAAAGATGGTCCAGGTAAAGGATGCAACAAATATAAAAGTCTTGAAGAGAGGAAGGACTTGATGTGTTTAAGAGAAAAGAGGCCTGGTTGACTGGAGAAGTAGACAAAAGCCACATCATGCACAGTTTGGAATCTTGAGTTTGTGCAAGGAAGAGAAGATGATAGGTTAAAAGGTCAGCAGACTTTTTCTGTAAAGAACCAGATGATAAATAATTTAGGCTTTGCAAGCCTAGAGGAAAAAATAAATAAATTCCTACAATGACATTGGTAGGAGAAAAGTCTGACATGACGTCTATATGGAATTTTAATAAAAGAGTAGCCAATAATGACAATTTCTTTGTTCCACTTAGAAATGATCAGAGCCTTACCTGAACTATCTCATCCATCCCACCGTAGGACTAATAACTGGAAGAGGGGCTAATGTGAGAAATCAGAGAAAAATACAATGTTTGTTCAAAGCCTGTTATGGGTTTTTGGAAGAGATAGTTATTGATCAAAACTATAGGCAGCACTGGAAGTAGGCAACTTTGCTTTTGATACCTGTTAGCACTATTCTTCTCCAGTAAATGAAAACTCCACACAAGATGCCCAATATATAGTTGTGTAAGATGTTTACTTGCCTTTTCCTTCTTCTTACTTATTCCGGGAGAAATCAGTGCCCTAATGCTGCCCCCTGGTGGCTCGAGGATCCCTTCATTGGACATTTCACTCAAGTCTAAACCTTTCCAGGCAATGCCCTACTACTGGGCACCTAGGTTCTACTTGTGTGTTTCCCCGTTCCTACAAAGGATATTAAGGATATTAAAAGATATTGGTAGTGTAGGTAGAATTATTTAGTTTCTCTTTTTAAATTTTATATTTTATTTTTTTTAGTCTTATCCAAGTTGGCCTTAAGTCTTATTACAGATTTATTATG